TGTCAGAATCAAGAACCAAGAGGCATATGCAGGCACCCCACACCGAAGGAAGCCAGGGAAGAAGCTTCCTGGGGATGCTGGCACTCCAGGGCATGCCGGCACCATACCCTTTCTGGAAGCCAAAAAACACTGTAAGAACTTCCTATTTCATGTCTTCCAATTATTTCATCCTTTACGAAGTGTCCTTAGCAAATATATTTAATTTTATAACTTTAAGGCTAGCTTTATATTTGAAGTTTCCACTAAAAGCCCTGTGCATTTAATGCCTGGTTTTAGCTAATAGAAAACACCAAAAAAACCAAACTAGCAACAAAAATATTAACATTTCAGACTTTTTTACATGAGAAATGCCTGGTCCTCTGATGGACAGCATACACAGCAACACTGCCTTTCTCCACAACTAGGGCTGAAAACAGAAGCTAGGCTTTTGTCTCCTGTGTTTTAATATACTCTTAGGAAATTCAAATAATTGCTCAAGTCTTTCAGAAAGAGGAAGAAACTGCAACCTAAACCTTTTAATTTAACAATCAAAGACACTTTTGTGGGTGGAGGCAAAAAATACTGCAAGAGATGTTATTATAAATCCCAAAGGAACAATAAATTATGCAAACAGTAATTTAATTTTGTTTTGTCTCAAAATTTACCTTTCAATTACAGCTTAGTAACCCAAGAGTTCTTTCTTAGATATTCATTGAACAGATCCTTTTCTGAGCAATCCAGCTGCTCAGACTCCTCCTAAAATAATATTTTAAAGGAGAAAGCGCAAGACAGCACTTCAGTATTTATTCTTCACAAACCGCTGTGAATTCCAATCAAGAGTAACTCTGGCAGAGACTTTTTGGCATGTGCATATGAAGACACATGAAAAGGATTTCTTGACTCATGCTCTTGTGTAATTCATACTAAGCAGAGGTGGGTTTTTTTCCTTTTGTTGGTTTGGTTTTTTTTTCCTTTGTTTTGTTCTGGGAATTGCAAGACATAACACAGAAAAAGCAGTAAGATTGCTCTCTTTTTCTTTAAAACAGATTAGCTTGAAGTAACATTCAGAAAAAAGTTTTTGTTTTCTTAGACTCTACCTTAACAGTATATTCAGTAGCTAAGGGCTTCCAAAGAAAAATCAAGATCTGTATGAAAATAATCTTAACTAGTTGGACTCTACTTCCAAATGATATCTAATATAAAGGTTCTTCAAATTAGGTTATGAATGTATTACAAAAAAGCAATTCAGAAACTGCTAGAAAACTTACAAGAAACTTCGCTCCCCAAATATTTGTCTGACTCACAAAACCAGTGAAACACTTACCTAAACACTTGAAAATTTTGAAAAGCTTAAATTTCAATTTGGTTCTATGCTGAAAAGTCCATGAAGATCTGTAAGAATCAGCTCATCATTATCACACTACTGAATAATGTCATAAAATTTTGTCTATAGTCATAAAACTGACTAATGTTTTGGATCGGGCTCTAATACCAGATGTATATTACTGGGAAAAACACCGTACTCTGCTAGTTCCCAAACAAGTGTAGCAAGTTAATGTACACTGTACTCACAGATATTCAAACACAGATCCTATATCAACTACATGGCAAAAAACATTGATTATAACTCTACCAGCAGACAGAAGTGGGTCTAAAATCCTAACAAAGGACGCATATTCAAGTTCACCTGGAAGTAAGCCTCCTGTTTTCTTCCTCCCCAATACCAACAGCTGACTAATTCTCTCTCCAGAATGCAACACGATCCATTGCAGCAAGAAGGGACTGGTATAGAGAAAAATAAATCGATTCTTCCAGTACCACCTTTTCACTGCAGCTGTAAGCTTGTACTTCAGATTAGTTGTTTCAGTATGAGATGTTCCTATTCTCTCAGTTTTTATGAAATAAAGCTCAGCAAATATTTTTTTTCCCCAGATAGAGGAATGACAGTTTTTCACTAGATCTCAGGTTTCAAGTACTGGTGCCTTCAGTCCCTGTGTTGGTTCCTGCAGTTGATCTGAGCTCTGCTGACCCATCTCCAGGTGTCCCACCAGCCATGGACGCAGAAAGATCTTGTGCAAAAGGGGTAGTGGAGGTGGCTACATGTAGTTACTCCCCACATAGGAGTTGAACAGCCTGGGGGGAGACCAAAAGCAACTATTCTATTCTTTCCTCACTGTTCAGAACTTCTTTCCTTGATGATACTTTTTCTCTGAGATTTTATAGGCTAAGTCTTACCATATTTTTTGTTGAAATAAATTTTAGCTCTCATGAAATCCCATGTCATCTAATCAATAATGGAGCAGGCTACTATTAAATATGAGAATTTTTCTACAAATACTGACATTACATACAGTAAAAATAAATGTACGGATAAAATCCTCTTAACACTATAGGGTATTTTCAAGTATCTTCAGAGGATTTCACATCCTACTCCTTGAAGGACAATATTCCCTGACCAAACAGTCTTACACATTTGATAGACTCAGAAGAAATTCCTTAACAATCTCAATTCTATAATCTTATCAACAGTAAAAAATATATTCAGTTTACTGAAAGCTCTTCTGCACATCCAAGAAAGCTTCATCTCTACCAATTCTTCAAAGGCTTTTATTATTTTACACAGTACAATAAACCTTCAGTAAGACCTTCTGTTTTTCTGTCACATCCATATGAATGCTTACGCTACTGAAAGAATTTGAGGGGGCTTTCCCCTCACAATTTTATTTTTTTCAAAATACCAGGCACTTAACATTTCAGATTTATCATAACTAGTTTTATACTCAAATACTGTCAGCGATATGTGTTTGCTTTTGTTTTTAAGAGTAAAAGTCTTAAACGTCATCTGCCTGGCAAGCTATCTGCTCCATCTGTGAGCAGCCCTTCAGTTTGCAAGTTCCTGCCTAATTGCTGCAGACAGATGTTGTCCTGCTGTAGCTATAGACATGTGGAGGCTCCTGCCATGTTAATTAACCAGCTTAAAGATATTCCTTTCACTAGTTCAGAAACCTAAAAACCCTTATACACAGCAGAAATGCAAGGTCTCACCTTACCTCCATTTTCTTTCCTAAATGCAATGTTTCTATATATCCCCTAAGTTGCTCAGTGGCATTTAGTCAGAAGATCCCCAGATAACTTATGTGTTATTATTTTGCATTGTATAGTTCATAGTAGAGCTTTTCTATTATTATATGAAATTTTTTCCCCTACCATGAATCCATACTGCTCTGGATAAACAAATCTAACATGTTACTAGTCTGTCAATACTAATGAGAACTAATCAATTCCTATGAATGAAATATGTACAGAAGACAAGCAGTCTCTTCTTTTAATAGTATTAAAAAATATCTTTGCTTTCTTCCAGGAGGAGGGAATCTCTCCCCCTTAAGGGCATTGATTAAACAACCCTTGTAATGAGTTTGCTAACTTTTTTGTGTGTTGCTTTCTGTAGCTATCAGCCAACTTGACTGATCAAGGGCTCAACTCGTAACCTGCCTACTGCCTTTTCCCCCCAACACAGAATGCTTAGAAAATAGTTCCCCCAATATCTGGGGGAGAGGGGACTGCACACAGCAGCATGCCTCATGTTCTCAGATATCTTTTGCAAACCACTCTATAAATGCGTGTCTTATAATGTCAGAATATTACATCTCTCAGCTTCATATAAAGAAGGGCTTTTCATCCCTTCAACAGTTACTGAAATAATTTTTATTGGCTTATCTTTTCTACCATAATTTACTAAGCCCTTGCCCTCTTATACTATCTTCAGGACATCAATTCACTCCTTTCCTAAACACAGACATTAATCTGGCCAGTGCTTATATAAACCTGTTGAATATCATCAAGGAATATCACCTACTACCAAGTGTGGTAGGAATTTCATAGATGAAAACTGCTTTTATTTCTCTGACGTGAGAGGGAACCATCATCCAGTTTACTTTTCCACTGTCTTCAATAAGGCCTCATCTTCCTTTGCCTCTCCTTTGTCTTTTCACCTTTAAATATACTATAGTAAGGAAGGCCAGGTGAGTTACCTTTGTTAGCCAATCAGTTATATGTCTCATCCACTTTATCATTTTCTCTTCTCTTTTTTTTTTTCCTTCTTTACCCAACATGTGGAAATTTAGCCTATCATGGTGACATATGTTTAATCTCTCCTCACCCAAACAGTGGTTTCTCTTACAGATATTTTTGGGCAACTACTCTGAGAGATCAGCATCATAGTATACTTGCCAGAAACTACTTTTCTCCAGAGTAACCTATTAACGCACGGCAATGATATGTGACTTCTCTAAAGGCTATATTGACAAACCAAGTGGCAACGTTGGCCATGAATTAAATCAGATTGGTATAGCATTTCAGTAGCCAGCTGCCTGAACAATCCTCCAATGGGAAGAAAAGCAAAGCTCAAAGAAAGATAAATATAAACATGTATTTACACACATTTAAAATACATTTTAATGTAAAAAAAAATTTAAACAAATTTTAAAGATTTTTAACATGTGATGTCTCCCACAGCAGTGAATTGATGAGGTAGTCAAAATGGTTTCTGTGTGTATTTTATCAAGGGAAACAAAGGTTTAAACACTGCAAATATTTCAGGAACATGCCCCTTTCCCAAAACTTTTTTACCTGAAAAAACTTAAGATGAAAGAGTTTCACAAAAAGATTGAAATTCGGGAAATAAACTTTCCTCTCATTCTCTTGTTTATACTTATATTCACTGGGAAAACAGATGTTTGGGGATTAACTGAAAGAAAACATGTATGTTCTGCTCCTGTTATGTCTTCAAGAAACACCAAAGATTTTTTTTATGTGACTAGTGGTTAAGATCATAAAATACGTGGGTTTTTTTAACTACCATTGTTAGAGGTTGCTTTCCTTTGCAAAGCCTTCTACAAATGGTCAGACAGATCCTGACCAGTCCAAAATACAGGAATAACACCAGACTTTTCCTGTTAATGAATATAAACTAGGTTGAGTTCATTCTTACACAGCTCTTAAATATAAAATCCATTTCACAGATGGCACACCAATGCTGGAAACTGAAACTCTTCTGAGAATACATTAAGTCCAAACTCCTTCATATCAAACACTGCTCATCCTTTACCTGACTATTAATTAAAAGAACTAATTCTGCACTTCAGAATAAAGGCAGAGAACAAGCAGGTAAGTACTGTGCCCAGGCAATTGCAACAGACAAACAAATGAAAACAGTCATGATCCCCAAATGTGACTTGTTTTAATGCAAATTAATGTTGACACTCAAAAAGTCCCTGTATTTATACTCATGTCACTAAGTGATCCTACAACACAGTTTTGAGTTTCCATGACACAAAAATCACTACAACATGCAGTTTAAGGTGCAGGGCTAGATCTGAGTTTTGGGATTCTTCTAATGACATCTAATGGAGGGGCAGGTCCTGGTTCTGGGCTTCAGTCCACAAATAGGCCATGTCCTAGTGCCACTTTATTTTTCCACTTGGACAGAGTAAAAGGCAAGTCTAATTGTAGGTGTAATTGAAGCCTTCCACCCATCAGGTCAATGCTCACTGCTCTATAGTAATTTTTCATGATCTGTAAGGCAGAGGCAAGAGACAAGAGGCATTAACCAAAACCCACTTATAACTAAGGTAAGTGCTGATACAGAGAACTGAAAAATCAGGTGAAAATTAACCAAATAGCTGGGGCAAACAGCATTATGTCCTTGAAGCAAATGAGCATTCATCTAACATCTATTCCATCTTCATAGTCTATGAATAATTATCTCTCACTAGAGTTTTGAACCTCAAATTACTATATTTCATTAAACCTTCTCAGACTTTAGTATAAATACCACTGTAGAAATAAGATGCCTTTCCTCTAGGAGAGGTATTAGTCTTGAGGAGGTCACATTGATAAGTAGAAGTCACTTTGAAAAAGAACTTATACATTGGTTGAGGCAAGACAGCAGACAGCAGTCAGCATATAGGACATGGATCCTAAATGGCAGTCAGCATATAGGACATGGATCCTAAATGGCTGCAATGTACTCAAAAGGTTACTGAAAAACTGCACAAAATGAAACAATGCACACAGCACACCCAAACTGTGAAGCAGGCACAGAGAGTGCTGCAGTACAGATGGCTGCTTTAAAAGATGTAAATGCAAACAAAACACCCTACTGTCTAGGACATGATGTTCTTGAGTGTGTGATGTCTAGTGTGACATCTTTAAAAATATATCATTTTTTTAGGTACGAAAGATGATATGTAATTATTTCTTCATGGCTCTGCAGCAGGTCCAACATCCTTCCTTCTTTGTGTGAAAAATCTATTACAATCGACTCTGAGCCTCCATAATTGTTCTCCATTAGTAATGATTTACATGATATTACAGCTGTCACTGAATGTCAAGGTAATTTCCCTATTTTCTTTCTTCGAATCTTTTTAGAAATTTTAGTTTAAAAGAGTACCTACTGTAAACATGTTCTAGCAGAGGAGACTGATAAAGAAAAACAAATCCTAAAGGACATGAGACAGTAATTTTGTAATATCTTGTCATTACAGAATTGACATTATTCAGTTCTAGCTATGAAGACTTTGTATTTCTTTTTCACCCAAGGAAACATCGTGAGGAATGAAGAATTCAGTTTTCTGATCTGACAATGGCACCAGGACAGGGGGGAACAATCTGTCACTCTACTTGGAAACTCGATAACGTGATGCTTTTAATTCACACAGCTTCAGTGCTTCTTAAAAAACCCAAAGTTAATTTTCATAAAAGGTATTTCTGAGGATTACATGCCAAACCTGGGTTTTGGTTCTGCAGGCCTGAAAACTGCCAGAAAGAGAATAGGCCTCCAATTTCCAGCTGCAAGCCTGGAGGAGAAACAGGCGCTGGAATTGAGGCTGCCTCCCACACCACTGATGCTGTTGGAAGAGCGTGGCACACTGGTATATGACATAGCAAACTGGTAGAGCAGCACAGAGTGAAAACATCATGCCTGTATACATGCCTGTGAGACACTGGACCCAAAAGAGATGTCGTATAAGCATCCTCTCATCAAAGGAGTTGTTCTAAGTTAAGCTGGATAGACCTGAGTCTGGGTACAAGAACCCAGACTACAGGTACAGCTTCTCAGTGGGTGTGACTGATGCAGCTGCTTATGGTGGTAATGACAACAGACTTGTTAAGAGTGTCTTCTCAAGACCTAGAGACCCAAGCTATGTCCTGCATTTCTGCATCTGAAAAATATAGTCAAAGTCACTATGTAGTCACTGACTTTTAATTAGGAAGATTAAGATTCAGAAAGAAATACATATGAGAGTGGTTCATAATGCCATTTAGACATGGACACTGAAGTTTGGAAAATCATAAAAGGTATGAAGAATGTACTGGCTGACACAATTGGACCACTGCTTTTAAAATTGTTCCTAAAGCAAATTTATGAAAGCATAAGTGAACTTAGAAAGGAATAAGATCAACTGGAAATCTGCCCTGGGCAGATTTGGTTTCATTTTGAATAATCTATCTTTCTTCCAAACACAAGCCTCATTGATTATCACTACAGAGGAAACCTGTTTTCCTTTAAAAAGTAAGAGTAAGTTGGTTTGTGTTTACTTCTCCATAGCCAAGTCTCCACATCATACAACAACCACTATAATTTACACTATTATGTGAAACTCTCAGGGTGATTAATAGGGAATTTTGAGGGCTCTGCTGGCCCAGAGGATGATGCTCTGTTATTCCTGAGGATCACACTGAAGATCAGGACAGAACCACTCAGAGGGAGCTAAAAGGGAACAGCTGCAGCCACAATGACCACGCTGTGACTGAACAGAGCAATTCACTCCTAACAGCTCCATGCTGTCTGTAACAAGCTATCAAGAGCAGCACATCCTACTTGGAAAAAATATTCATCTGTCAAGAGTAATTTTTCAAATAAGATTAAAGAAGCAGTTCTCAGAGGCTTCAGACTATATCAAATGTTGTTTGTCCCTAACAACCAAAGTGGGGAAAATCCTGGGATACTGTTCTATACTGAGGAGGGAGACCAAGAGAAAAGCAGAAGGCTGTTTTAAGCTGTAATTCGTTACAGATTAAAAAACCCAAACCACTCCCCCAATCCACAAATTACAAAAATTATAAGCCTCCAACATGGTACAGCATATCCTTAATGCTTTAGCATGTGGAAGGAGAATACCATTTATGCAGAATAAAGAAACTGCCCAAAACCATGGTCAACAGTTACGCATACTGAGTATTAGGAGAGACATCAAAATAATGCTTCAATTGCTAACTACTTCATGAGAAGTGGCAGACAGACATAACTCAAGTGAGTTTTGTTCTTCCTTTTGTTCTTTCTTTTACTTTTTCTTATTCTTACTTTTCACCATCACACCAAAGAAAGAACAGTTGCACAGGTCAAGAAATAAAAACACTGGCCAAAAAGCAAACCTTCAGACCCTCTGAGCTCTACTAAAAATTTTTTTTGCCAAAATATTACAAAAAAACCACAAACCTTTGTAAGGTGTTAGGCAGAAGTGGGGCAAATTAGTTGTATACTGTGTTGGGTGTCACTTAATGTTGGGTCCTGCAGCACCAAGCTCTCCTCCAAGAACTCAGGCAGGACAAAAAGGAAGGAGGGGGAAGGACTGCTCCCTCTCCATACAACCACAATGGGAAGGGGTTGGGTTAAGCAGCAAGAGCTGTACTTGCCTGCCCTCTGCTTGGTTCGTTTATGCTATCAGAGCTGCTGGGTGCTGGCAGCGGAGCAGGCTGAGGGCCAGGCCTGCCATGCACATTGTGTTTGTGCATATGAGGGTGCTTCTGGATGCTCTTACTTTGGGAACGTAAGAAATAAAGGCAGCTTGGGAAAGAGAGTGGACTTAAAAGTGAAGACGTACGCTTCTTTTGTACTGTCACTGAGGTGAGGGCTCCCATTGACCCATCCCAGCCTTCCAACAACATATCTGGGGAGGTCAACCTGGGGAACAGAACTCCCACTCACAGTTGCTACATCCCTCTGAGCTCTCCCAGTCTGTTTCTTCACACGTCCATCTGCTTCTCCCAGAGCTTCCACCCCTCTGCACGGCCTGACAAGTCCTACTAGCCTTTCTCAACCTTTCTTGTCCTCAATTTCTTTTACTGGCACCAAAATATTGAGCTCTGCTGCCATCAAAGGTAAGAACAGAATATGTGCTCCTTTGTCTTTGTTCTTGGAGCACCAAATAGTTTTACCTTGTCTATAGAGAAACCTTGAGCTGGCTCTAGATCAGACCATCACAAACTAGCCTCACCGGAGTCTAGCAGAACATAAAGGCTGAGAGAAAATTATTTCCCTACATCTAATACTTAAATGTAAGCATTTGCATATGAGCTACATGTCTCAGTTCCCATTATAGTCAAAGTCATAAGTCAGTGGAGCCCAGAGAAGTATTCAGTTGACTCGATTTCCTCTGGCTATACCTTGAAGCATCTTAACTTTGAGCTGAATCACTGACACCTAGTGATCAAGAACAAAATTCTCTAGAAGGACTACTATAGAAAGGAGATAACTATGTTAAATGCTGGGAGTAATTTAGAATAGTATGTAAAATTCTATTAGATTCACTCTATTTTTTTTTTTTGTGGAAGGAATACACTAAAATATTTTCAAATGTTATCTGACACAAAACTAATTGGATTTAAAGTACCAAGGGGAAAAAGAGACATCCAAATAGGTTTTCAGCAGAAACCTATTTTCTGGGTATTGGTGAAGAACACTTAAGCTTTCGGTATGCTTTCTCATTGTAAATTCATACTTCCCTAGTCTTAACTCATAAAAAAAATAACATACTAAAACATTTGCTTTTCACAGCAAGCTATGTTTAAACTCAACTAATTAAACTAAACTTTTAGCAAGAAAATACTAACAGTACATAACTATCCTTTGTGAAGTAAAAACTCAGAAACCACTCATTACCACAGTAATTATATAATAATTGTGGTCAAATTCATTGAGCTACATACTATGATGCCCATATCTGAATATTTACTTCTAGCTTACCACAGTTCATTAACTACCATCTCATACATCCTTAAGCAGTACATGAGATGCTCGCAGGCTGTACAAACCCACTGAAAGACAAGAAAATATCTTTTTTCAGCTTCCCTAAAACTACATAATCTTTGCTATCGCAAACCAGTGAATACTAATTTAAAGGCTCCTGTTGTCTTTCCAAAGTCAGTCCCACAATGTAAATGTAAAACCCACCACACATGTGAAGTATCTAATGCTTATACTTCACTGCACCTGCTCAGCAGTTATATGCAACAAGAGAAAATGAAGATTCTCACCACAGGAGTAAAAAAATTGTATTTGAAATGTGTGTATGTGCAGAAAGTGCAATTTGAGTCAATATGACAGTTTACTCAGCTAACTGAGCAACGCTATGGTTGCCTACTTGATGCTCAGTGCATTTTCATACATAGATGAAACTCTGCTTGGTTAAAGAAATTAGTGCTAAAATGAACAGTTTTCATGGCTGGAGATACAGTTTTGCTTTAATTTCTTGCCTTTAGATGGAGTAGGTTAACGGAAAGGTAACACTTTTGGTGTTAACAAAGAATCACAAAGAAAGTTAAATTACATTTTGACTGGATTGGAAATACTGAGGGAATAGTCCATCTCACAGTATTTTTTCTCAGTTTAAAGAACTTTGATGGGCTTTAAATTTAAACAAATCTACCATCTTCAGGTCAGGAGTAAAATTACTTTAAGACACTTCTTTACCAGCACATAACATCAAAGGCTTTGACTATTCCATATACGTAAGGTAAACTGCTAAGGTTCAAATCCAGTCAAGGATCACACAGCCTTGTATGATTCAGTCTTCATGTCCATCCTCAAAATAATATTGAGATAAGACTTCTTTGCAGGCTTTGTGTAAGCATACATTTCAACTAGTGTGGGCCAAACCTTAAACTGTAGGGGAAACAAGTAAAATGCTAGAAAACCCAAAAAGCAAAGAGAACTTTCTTCATGATCTCAGAAAACACTGTTCTCAGTGTGTAGTTTATCTGTCTTTTGGGGTACCCCCCTGCAATTTCTAAGAAGTGGCTCTAAAATAAGAAACATGACAAAATGTATTTGAACCATGGGTGACCAGCAGGACCAGGGAAGTGATTATTCCCCTGTACTCAGTGCTGGTGAGGCCACACCTTGAGTACTGTGTCCAGTTCTGGGCCCCTCATTCAGGAAGGATGTTGAGGAAGGATGCTGCAGCATGTTCAAAGAAGGGCAAGGAGGTTGGCGAAGGGACTCGAGCACAGGTCCTATGAGGAGAGGCTGAGGGAGCTGGTGTTGTTTAGCCCAGAGGGGAAGAGGCTCAGGGGAGACCTCATCACTCTCTACAACTACCTGAAAGGAGATTGTAGCTGGGTGGGCATTGGTCTCTTCTCCCAGGCAACCAGCAGTAGGACAAGAGGATACAGTCTTAAGCTGCGCCAGGGGAGGTTTAGGGTGGACATTTGGAAGAAGTTCTACGCAAGAAAGAGTAACTGGGCATTGGAATGGACTCCTCAGGAAGGTGATGGAAGGTGGAGGTCTTTGAGGAAAGACTGGACGTGGTACTTAGTACCATGGTCTAGTTGACAAGGGGGTGTTTGGTCATAGGTTGGACTCGATGATCTCAGAGGTCTTTTCCAACCTAGCTGATTCTGTGATTCTGTGACTGTTTTCTGTGATTTTCACGTTACACTCACAAGGACTCTATGGAGAGGAGGACGATTTTCTCATCACTGCTGCTAAGAGAGATGGGTGCACACTGTGCTCTTCTAGAGGGTTTTTTTTCTCCTCTAACTGCTCTTGTTACCAATCTAAAGGGAATTCTACCTTTAGTAGATATCTCTGACCAGTCATCATTATTTTCTGAAGTCCGTGGCTCAGTGACAAAGCCTCTCATTTGAAGAAGGAATTTTTTCTCTCATCAGGTTGTTTTCCCACCTTTGCTCTTCTGCATTTCCTTTGTTTATCCACCTGTCTTTTCGAGAGAGATGTATAAAGTTAAAAATATACAGCACTGGACACCCTGTCTTTCTGCAATCTGCCAGCCACTTTTGTGCACAAACTCCATGCCCCAGCATTAGCAGCAGAGTGGAATCCATGGGGCGCTGCATGAGAGGGCAAGGAGTTTCTCCCACCCAACTGATTGTGTAAATGTGTGTTTACTGCAGAGGTGACAAAGTTTTTGACAGCTCAGGGATGATCCAGAGCCTGGAAGATATCTCTGTTAAAGCAGAAGGAAAATGGTGGGTAAATAAAGCAAATGCATGCTTAGCATTTAGCAACAGCTTTTCTCTCTTCATGATTCTAGTTTTTGTAATCTTCCTGTCAAAAGTTGTTTATTTCATACACAGGCACTGCTGCATAAAGCCCTGCTAATCTGCCCTTGTTGCCTCCTCCTGTGCTTCAAATATAACAAAAGGTGATTTTCTTTCCTTTTTTGAGTAATTGATTTACATGAAGGACATGTACTTTTCATTTAAACCCTTCTTTATACAAGACTGAAATACTGTGTCTGAGATACAAGCGTTAGGTATTTATTAGCTACAAACTAAGTCCTGTCAAACTTGGCACTTGAAATAAAAAAATTCTCCTTTCTGCAACATCTCTCTGTTCCACAAACTACTGTATTATTTGCTGTACTGAGTTCCTGACCATAAGAGACTGTTCTTTTTAATAAACACAGGGTAAGTTTCCAACTCTATCAACATCCAGCACATCTGCTTGCCTTAAAGCTTCTGTTTTGCTATTATTTCATTAAACATAAAATCACGCAGCAAGGTGAAACAGATTTGGAAATACAATGTTCATGCTTTCAGGCTGGGTATGTCATCCAGAGCTTAAGATGTTACATCTACCCTTTCAGAATTTCAGGTAGAAATAATAGTTACTTGGACAGGATTTTCTCTCCCGCGCACCCAGTCATTCTTTCACAGTGCTCTGAAACTGGCTTTTTCCAGCTTTTTCTTCATAAAGAGTTGCTATCCATGTCCAGTCACAATAAGTTGTTGGACACTGCTGAAACAAATTCAGTTTGCTTGGATTGACATTCTGAAAATTCAAAGCCATGAA